AAACTCGAGGTATAACAGATCACTGCCAGAGAAATTACAACAAAAACAACACCTGGTTCACGGAAACACAATTTCAACAAACGAGCAGAGGCCTCGCAAGCAAAATCAAAACATAAAAAACATAGACCGCAGTAGAATCGAGAAGAAAACAGCAGGAATCACAGATTTCAACTCAAAATAAAAAGTTAAACACCAAAATTAAGAAGCTCACCGCGAGAAAAACGAAAGCGGAGCGTGAAAAAAAGAAGACAAGAAAACGCTTCCGAGAATATAGAAGAGCTGGGGTTAAAGAGAAAACCTTCTGATCTACGAAGTTTCCGGCGAGACTCCTTAGGGTTAGGATGAGTAGCTGCTGCACCGGATAGGGATGGAATGATATGGCAAAGAAGAAGGGATTCCTTCATTTGCAGGAAGTAAATTACCAGAAATGGGAGTCCTGATACAAGCTGCTTCCTTTTGGATGTTTGTTTTGAAATGGGAAACAAATTACCATTTACTAACGCCCCGTTTGGTTTATGGTTTTGAAAAATGTTATCGAATATTTAGTACTCCGTAGGCTATTTAGCAATAATATTTTTAAAATTAATCTACATTATTAAAATTTTATTCAAAATATTAATTCAACCTCTTGCTTTTCATGATATTGATTTTCAATGTCATAGATTACCTGAAGGTACTTCGGTATTCCATTAATAAAATTGATGATTCTCTTAATTCAAATTGAAAATATTGTTTCCAAAGGCATAGGGCAATATTTGATAAGCTAAAAGAGAAATCCCACATTATTCTTGAGGGTCGTTTGATATACAGAATTAATGGAATTGAAATTAAAGTTCTTAATTCTAATTTCATTTTTTACATTACCAATTCCAAATTTACATGCTTTTTGTGTTACCAAACACCAAAATTGGAAATGAAGTTCTCAATTCTAATTTCATATTTTAAATTTCGTGTACCAAATGGGGCCTTGGTAAATTCCGCAATCTCTATTTGTAATACTAACTATGTTAGTGGTTCACCAAAATGTGAACTCCAAAGAAATACACCGACATTTTAACGGTTTACACAGACACTAAATATTACTCCCTCCGTCCTAAAATTAACTTCCCAGTTTAACTTTTGTAGTCAAACTTTTTAAACTTTGACCGCATATTACAAAAAAAAATACATTAAATTTCCAAAGAAATTTTCAGATCCTGTTCCGATAATACTCAATTAATGTTTCACTTTATATGTTTGATTATACTTATTTTAAAATTATATTGAATGAAAAACGGTGTCATTCTCTTTTTGAGTGATCACGTCGGGTATTTCTTTCTTATTTTTAAAAGAACAACACAAAAGGGGAAGAAAAGAAATAGGAACAGAAAGAAACAATTTGTAATCGGTTTATATGAATTTGAAAAGAACACAAAAGGGGAAGAAAAGAGAGAAACCTGTCAGAAAGTTAAGAGGCCGTCCCAGCTCACAAGTGGGCCGAGAACGATCCTCCGCTAATGAGCCCAATTCTAAGGCCCAAATTGCTACTCACGCTCTAGCCTCTTAGCCATTTTCCATCAACCAGGCTTGGTTTCCTTTCTCNTTTAGATGGTTTTTTTGGTGCATGACACGAGTTAATTTAAAATGGTAGTATAGTAGTATTCTAATCTCGAGTCAATCTATAAAATTTAAAAAGCATTTGTTTAATCGGTGCATGACACGAGTTAATATACTAGTATTAATTAAAAAATAGAGTTGATATATAATTATTTGTAATTTATTTAGATGGATTCAAAAAGAAGGTAGATTGATTATTATCATTATTATTAACTAATTAAAATGGATTTGAAAAAAGGAACAATTTGTAATTCGTTTATATTGATTTAAAAAGAACAAAATCTTTTTACAAAAGAAAAAAGAGAGAAACCTGTCAGAAAGCTAAGAGGCCATCCCAGCCCACAAGTGGGTTGAGAACGATCCTCCGCTGATGAGCCCAATCTCAGGCCCAAATGCTACTCACGCTCTAGCCCCTTAGCTAGCCACATTTCATCAACCAGGCTTGGTTCCCCCTTTCTCTTTAGAATAAAGGATTTGGAGGTACAACCTATAGAACAGATCCTGTTCAAGCAAGGTCGTGCCCAGTGTTTCGAAACTTCGCTTTATATTTCGGTTCGAAAACGATTACAATTTCGGTGTGGGAAAACCGAAGAGAGCTTTCTGGTTTTTGCCCTTCCCACTGGAGAATAATACCCGAGCTTGAAACCCGCTTTTCTTCTTCTACGCACTCAATGGACCTGAAAAGATTGGTACCTTTTGTTTTGTGAGCTCGACCAAGAATCATTACTACTATATTTATACACAATCTCCCTGTCTTTCTCTGCTTAGGTTCTTGAGAACAACACATCAGGTTTCTAATTAAATGCTCTTTCTATTTAAATATAAATATGATCTTCAGGAAATTTTTGAAGATTTGTTTGCGTATTTCATCAAATCCAAAGAAAAAACGCAATCGTTTGTGTATCTATATATGGGGATGTGCAATGAGGAGGCTTTAGCTTCAGTAACTGAAAAAGTTTTTGGGGTGAGGAGCAACAATAAAGAGGCTAGAAAAGAAGGAACATGAATTGGCAGGTCCAAAATCATGCCTTGGACTGTGTTGATGCCCTGATACAATTCTTTCATGGCCTATCATTACAGCAGCTGCAATTGTTGTTATTCTCTACACTTTCATATTTGCTGCATCGGTTGTTATTCTCGACGATAATTTTTTGCGAGGTGTTCAATATCATCTCAAATATTTTGGAGGTCAAGGCCCGTCACCTCCCTTTTCATTTGAAACACAAGCAGAGCTAGCTAGTGTTAGCTTGTGCAAGACTACATAATTTTATTAGATTGTTTTTATTTTATTAGATTATTTTTAATATTTTAATCGATTTCATAAAGAAAGTTTTTTAATTGTTAATTATAATAGCTTATGTTACAACAATATATAAATTTATAAAATAATTCATATTTATGTATAAATACATTAAAAATCTATCAAGCTCTACATAGACTTAAAATAATCCGTAGATTTTACATAATCCATATAACAATCTATTGAATACACCCTCCTTAATAAAAGTAAACTGTCACCCAATTAATTTAAAGCATGCAAGTAGGAAAGTAGAAAAAGGAAGGGACGATGAATACCAAGTTGGGTTCATGTTTGGCAAATGCAATAATCCCACATACACTGACCCGATGGGTTGCCTTCTTCTAAGGAGGGTTGTCTGGATTTTCAAATTTAGATGTCTAATTGGTCAAAATTTAGATGCAATCCCATTCTTTTGTAATATCTACCTCTAAATATATTAACTTTATTTTACTCACTACTTTCATTCCATGTGATTTTCTCCTTATTTTTATTCTCAGTTTAGTTTTTTCCTTTCACTCAGTCAATATATGAAAAATTAATATATAAAAAATACTTCATCCGTCCTACAAAGTCTTTCCTGTTTTCATTTTTATGAGATTTAAGGAAAAGACATTTTTGTATTGACTTTCCCAAATTACCCTTAATGTGATATGTAAAAATAGGATGTAATATGTAGAATATTACTAAATAAGTATGATGTAATAAGGTAAAAATTAGTAGGGTTAAGAACAATTTTTAATAAAAGGAGAAACGGATTCTGAGACACAAAAGAAAAATTCATAGGACGAAGAGAGTACATAATACTCCGAAGTATATTAATTTGATAAAACAATACTCCGTATTATAAAAATATTTTATAAGATAAATATAAAGAAATTATTTTTATATTAATATCGAATATCATTTTTTATTTAACTAATTGTTAAAGTTTGTCAATTTTAATAAAAATAATTTACAGAGTAAAACCAAACAAGCACTCAAAGACGAAACGTTGCACCATTTTTCGTGATCTTCTTGAGAGAGTATCAAAATACTCAATTGTCACAATGAGACCAAAAAACTATTATTTTTTACTTTCACTCTTTTTTTTCTCCTTCTTTTGTCCCATAAAGCTTTCTTGTTTGATTTTAAAAAGTTCAAGAAAAATATTGATACATAAAAAATTAAAATTTTGTTTAGATTAAAAATTTGTCACATAAACACTCAACTTCTTTATAGAAGTAAATTGTCACCCAAAATTTTAAAGCATGCAAGTAGGAAAGTAGAAAAAAGAATGGGACGATGAATACCGAGTTGGGTTCATGTTTGGCAAATGCAATAATCCACATACACTGACCCGATGGGTTGTTTTTTGTTACATGTACATAAACAAAGTAATCTATATCTACAGGGGCGGACCCAGGATTTTTTACCATGGGGTCGATCATATATTTAAAAATATGAGAATATATTTGATTTGTTGGGTCATAAGTAAAATAAGATTCATATTAGATAATATTCCTAAAAATAATATTATGGTATCTACATGTAATATACTTTTCTTAAACTGACGTTCAGAGTTTACTACTCCGTATAAATTTTTAAATGTGATGGATGAATCATATAAAAGTGAAAGATGTACCATAAGAATTTATTTTTAACCAACTACATATATTTTTTCTATAAATAAGTAAAGTGTAAACTTTATGAATTTTTTCGATATAGAAGAGAATAGACAAATAACAAACAGGTATGTTGATTTATAGTTTAATACGAAAGGAGATACAAAATTTTTGAAGTACTTAGGAAAATCGAAATACTCCACAAATATAAATTTTACGTAGATTTTCAAATGACATGAATAAAATATTAAAAAGTTAAAGTTCTAGTTAGTAGAAAATAAAGATAATTAATACGGAGTTTCACTCGTATGTGTTTTTCTAAAAATAACATTTTAAATTTATAAGTTTATTTCAACATAAAAATAATAAAACAATAAAACAAACAAGAGGTCCAAAGTACACAACTAGTCACAAAAAAATGTTTCCCATATAGATTTTCAAATGACATGGATAAAACATTAAAAAGATAAAGTTCTATTTATTAGAAAATAAAGATAATTAATATGGATTATCACTAATATTGTTTTTCAAAAAATGAGTAATGTTTTAAATTTATAAGTTTATTTTAACATAAAAATAATTAAACAATAAAACAAACAAGAGGTCTAAAAGTACAAAAAAAATTAGTCAAAAAATTAGTTCTAAGCCCATGTGGCACGGGGCCTTGAACTAGAGACATGATGCTTAGCATTCATGCGTGCAACCACTAGGCTGCTCAACCAGGTATTCCTTATCCCAATTTCCGTATTATATATACACATATCCATTTTATCCAACAAAATGGAGTATATTACAATAAAATTTCGTGGAGGTCCGTGGGGTCGCTTGACCCCGTATGATCCTATGTGGGTCCGCCCCTGTATATCTATCAAAGTTCAAAGAAAACGTGAAGTTAAAATAGACAAGGAATGAATAGTTAGCATGAAATTCTCGAAAATATCAAAGGGCTATGATCTTGGGTTCAAAATTGAGTCTACTATGAGACGGCTAGACAGCATTCATAGGGTCCATGAAAACATTACTCTATCTATAAAACACTTCTGCACCAAAAAACCTGACGTTGTATGAATTTAACAAGAAAAACGAAAGCTGGGTATACAAAATAGAGTCTACTTTCCATTGGTGCTCCCATGCTTGTGAAATGGCCAGAGGTTGACCAAACGTTCCAAAACTGTCGCACTTTTTGAGAAGTAGCCTGAAAATCCTTGGGGGGTTGATGGTGGTGGGAAGTCTTCAGCAGGCATCGCAAAAGGACGAATCATCTTCTCTACCTTTTCTAGTGTCAGGCATGATCCTATTTCTTGAAGCCTTTCGGGACCCATTATTGGCAGCGTGTGCTCCTGGCGCCATGATGTTGCCTCCGTGTCTTGTTTCTGCAAATTCATAAGAAGAACACCTTACAAACATAGGGACATTTTTGTTGGGATTACTTGGCTTTACAATAGTAGAGCATTTTCTCATCAAAACACTAACCTTGCACAGTAGAACTGCTACTTAAAAAGTCTTTTGTTTTTAATATTTTAACATGCACACGATAGGTGAGGGAAATAGAAAAAGATACTCCGTAAAACATAAACAGTTGGTATAACAAAGAGGTAAAGCAGTATTTTCAACCAATTCTGTTCAATTTCATCAAGTAGCAACTACTCAGAGTGCCAACACAAGGTTCGGAAAAATTGATTCTATCAGTTTCCGCTCTCAAAGTCATCCCAAACGTGTTCTAAATGATTTATTGCTCTAAAAAAACACTTTTAAAGCAAAATTTCTTGGGGAAAAAACATCCCAAACGCTCTCATAAGTCATAACTCTTCAAATGAAAGCTCAATAACCCATATGGCTTACCTCTAATGGTGATAAATCTGCACCACGGCTAAAAGTCATTTCTATGCGGAACCTTTTTGGGTCTTCTAAATTCACCTGTACACAAAATCAGATAATGAAATCAGTAAAAAGAAAACAGCCCTTTCCTCTCTACCTATAAAAGTAAGATAATAATCCTCTAAAAAAGGTGTAAGAATGCCAACCTCAGTGTTTTCGAACATCCTTAATACAATATAACTCATGTAGTCAAGCTCCTTTGTTCTAAACAAGCGTTCTAAAGCATTATCACAAACTAAGCTCTCTTCTCCTTGGAGAGATTCATCTAGATTGCAATATCGCAGAACATTCATCAAAGAATGAATATGTGATTCCTGCGACGTGAAAATAAATCGAGAAATCAATTATAAGATGGAACACTCACAAGAGAAACACTAAATGGGATAAAAAAGGAATGGGATTTGTTCGTTTCCTCTTTTTAAAAGCAGAACCATTATTTTTATAATCTTGAAAAATAACCTTATTTTTTTTAGGGATTAAATGAGTCCTATTTCTGGAAAAAGAAACACCGATAGTCCCGCTCTAGCTTGATCACACAATTATTCACGTGGAAACCCAAGTTTGGGTGAGAACACGGTAGGCATGTTAACTATTGGTGGATCAAAATACGATAGTCCTAAATAAAGGTACTCACTGATGTAAAGTAAAGGCGTGTCCGGACATGCCGTTCTGGAGTCCTCACATTTGCATATCTGAAACAAATAAATTTTACGGAGTACATGTCATGTAATAAAAGTTTTACTTACTTTGACAAAAACTTTGCATACTGATTAGCTAACAGAAATAGAAGAAAGACTTTTCTTTTCTTTTCTGGTAGGATATTTAGGTTTTGAAATACAATTGGTTGTAAGGTAGTTCATAGTTCATACTTTGGATCCAACCGGTACTTGGTCTCCTTGTCGTCGTCTTCGTCCTGATCCATCGATTTTTCACTAGTGAAACTATTTCTTCTAGGAGTTCTAGGTTGTTCTTCAGTTCTCAAATGAGACTTGAGAGGATACTCTGACTCTTCCTTTGACCTTACATGAGGCTTGAGGTGATGCTCGGTCTCTTCTTCTCCAGCCTTGCTAGTGGTTGACTGCTGCTCTTGATTATTCCTCAACTCAGCAACACTAGTAGCCTCTTCGCGTGTGTTCCTCAAATCGATCAAAATTTTACCCAACAACCGTCGAGCGATCTGAAAATACCAACACAGAAAACTGTTTCATATGCAGGATTGCAGGTGTAACGTGTAAGGCGCAATAAAAAAAGGAAAGGAGCTAATTTAACATACAAGAAGCTTACCTTTGATCCAACTTTTAGCTTTTGCTTCGGGTTAATTCCATACTCATTAGGAATCACGCCATCTGCAAGTAACTGAAAAAAAGTAGCAGAATCATAGATAAATATAACAACCCAATAGAATCCCACGAAAGCAGTGTCTGGGGAGGGTGTGTGTGCAAAACCTTACCCCTCCTCAAAAGTAGAGGGTTAATATAATTTTCCATAATCTGAAGTTTTTTTGAAAGAAACAGATTAGTAGAAACAATGGTTTGAAAGCATTGTAAGCTATCACTTATATTGTCATTAATTAATCAGATTGTTTATTCTTTTTTAGACTATCACTTCTATCTTTATGTTTGCTATGAAGTTAGCAAGTGATTATCTTTCGTACCTGAGCAACTCTGAAGAGTACATCCAAGCCTTCCAGATTTAGATGTGAATTATGCAAAAGATCATACCTTTAAAAGGGGAGAAAGAGTAAATGCATTAAAATTCCAGAAAAACTCATGAGTTGGAACTTGAAGGAGATGCATGCTAGAGATGCAAACACACGTTAGAGACTTAAAAGGCTAATATATTCACATTTTGAACAAAAAAATTTAATTATCTTCGCTGGGAATTCCAATAAAAAAAGGTGTGGGTAAGTGCGAAAATCATTAGAAACATCGTACAAAAATGGGCATCCCAAATTATGGTGTGTGGGTACAAAGCCCAGCCCGAATGGTCCATATCAATTTAGGTAGAAATAAAATAAAGGAAAAAACAGATGCCAGGCATGTGCTGAAGTGCTTGGAAATTGGTTGTTGTTTCCCTAATTGTGACCTATTACTTGTATATGAAGCACAATAAATCCCAAACCTTCCAAAAAATATACAGAATATTTATTTTTATATTTGGAGGATTTTCATGATCGAGTTGGGTGGACGGTTCCATAGATGATTCTCATTATTGATTAATGAACATCATGTAATGGTAATTAGGAGAGTAACTTGGATTAATTTTGGATCTTGGAGTAAGAGCTTTAGAGGTTGGAAGAAATACCTAGGAAGATCAAATATTTTGGGATTTGATTAGAATTTAGATTTGTATATATAACTAGTTTGTTTCTGTGATTTTAGCACAGAGCAAACAAATGGGCTTGTGTTTTCCATTGCAAGACAAAGATATAGAATGTAAATTTAGAATTCTGTGTTTCTAAATTTCCTATGAAGCTTGAGATTTCAAATACTTTGAATATTTCACAAACGATAGAGTAATTACAAAAGTATACTCCCTCACACTCAGGTTTTCCAACCTTTAGTGGTCTAGTGTTAAATTACAATAAAGGCTGGAAACCAAGCAGGGCATAGGGAGTAAATTATTTATAATGACTGGGATTTAAGAAGTTCACTACTTGCAGTACAGTTGTTAGGTATGGTTAATTTAGAGCTGCAAAAAAAACATGCCCCTATACTTCCCTTGATTCAAAAAGTCTTGGAGCTTGAAGAACTTGTGGTGTTGATTCGAGTGTAGTGTGCCACAAAGGCATCACATTGCTCGATCTTAAATACTATTAATATTTTGATCACTATATGAGCCCATTTTTAATTCTGGCTAAGGACACCTAAAACAGCCTTGAATATCATAATGCTCTTTCCGAGGGAAAGAAACCTCGGTATATATCCAATGTAGAACAACACTAAGGTGTTGTGACTATGTGAGATAACATACTTGCAGGAGTCGTAAACATCTGGAATTTGGGTGATATCAAAGCGTCTGCAATTGAAACACAGCATTAGAGGAATTTCAATAGAAACAACAATGGTCTACTCTGTTGGGCAGTAAGAAAAAAAATCATCATAAACAAGTAGAATCTTAAGAGTATAACCCCACATTAGTCAGGTCAGAAAGAGTGACACTTACTCCTTGCGTGCATTATATAATTCTCTTTCAAGTTTTCTCCATCTTGCATACATCAGAAGGAACCCCTCACTGCCACAAGGGAGACCTGCAGCAATACGGTCAACATCTATATTTGTTTTACCAAGAGCCTTTGCTTGATCATACGCTGGAATCACATCATAAGAGCTGGTCTCAGCAAGTTCTTCATCTTCATCCTTAGCAAGAAGTTGTACCTGTTCTGTCACTTTCTTAGTCAACTTCACCTGTTAAGAAATATAGATAAAAACCAAGATTATAGTATGTACAAACAAAGTGAAGCTAGAGGAAACCCAAAAATGAAAAGAGTTAAATCCATACTTAAAAATGGGTTAGAAGCATTTTAACATATCAAAAAAGGAAAAGAATGAACTCGATAGTTGAAGAAAGATAGCATAGGGGTAAAATCAGGTTACAGGTTGCAAGAAAGATTAACAAGACCACAGTACTCATGAGTCATGAGTCACATGAGTACTAAACCTCTTTTCAACCCCAACAAACAAATAGTTACAATAGATGAATATATTAATATATTTACCAATTCGGGCAGAAGAACAGATGCATTTGAAGGGACTCCAGCTCCATCAATCATCCAAGGTTTCTCTGATGATCCATTACTATGAAGTATCCTTGTTCCAGAAGTTACAATCTCATTCAATCGAGCCTGAGAGGGCGACCAAAAAGCAAATTACAATTTAGACTATTGAGCCAAAATATTGCAATTCAGAATCCATGAGATCAAAAAATGAAGCATATTTACTTGTGTGTTATTGTCATACATGAGTTGATGAATATTAAGCATAAGATGCACCTCCCACATCTCATGATAATTAAGAGAGAGAAAGATATATTTCCAGTCCATGCATACATTGTTTGCAACAAAAATGATGCTCTTACATAACAATGAACATAATCACCATTATGCACAATACTTTGTGCACATTTGAGCGAGTAACATTTCATTTGTGATTACATACTCCATCCTAGGATAAGGTTGCACTTCACTAATCATAGGTCAAACCATATCTTCTTTCCTTATGTACTTTCATCGATCAATTGATAAATTAAAGTAGTCAAACAGTCTCTTGTTCTATATACTCCCTCCGTCTCATAAAGTCATTCCTGTTTCAAACATGTAATTTTATTTGCCAACTACTGTTGTTTTATTGTTTTACTCAGATGTGGATATTAAAAACTAGCAAACAATTTCAAAAAAATATGGATAACACAAGTGCAAAGTAAGAGAACCTTTGCTTCATCCATCTCAATACTGGCATTCTCAAGACCATCGAGCATAGAAGAGTCCTTGCTAACCAGGGACACCTTTACAAAAGGGGAGGGAATATGGGCAAACAAATGAGTTGTCTCATTTAAAGAGGCAGACACAAGCACATAATATGATAAGCAAAGACTATGCAGGTCAAATATGCATACTTGTATAGGTGTTAGCTGTCCTTCCAGGTCAAGAAGCCCTTTGGCAAATGCGGCCGCTGACATCTGTGACAGACACAACGCAACATTCATAGTTGAAGGACAAAATGAAGTAAATACTATTAGAAAGAGAAGAGGCAACAAAATTCAAACACGTTATAATTCAAGGTCAAATAAATAAATGACAGAAGTTGGCAAATCATCAAGAGGTACATAGTGCACCTGTACTCGACCTTCATCTGAACTATATATTTTAAGGTCATGTCGATAAGTACTATGGAGACGAAGCAGGCCTGTACCTTCACCTGAAATTCAAAAGAAAATAAGAAATTTTATAAGGCTCACCAAGAAAAAAAATTATAGAAATTAAAAATAGAAACATAAACAATAAATAGAAACGAGCAAGATTAAACTTATCCCCTTGGGTATGGCAATCCGTGCGCTAAAAACCCCCCTATAACTTGTTATGTTAGAATTAAGTCAATTGACCCTCTGCACTAAAACCCCTCTTGTGAAAAGAATATTCTGCCTGAGATGCTCATTCCATCCTTTGAGATAAGAGTTTACCCAAGTATGAAAATTTGTGAGCTGAACCCCATAATCTTTGCTATACCATAATGGACCCCCTGAACTATGCACTTACCCCGCGGTTAACCTCTACCAAGAATTTGTAGTATACTTCACTTGAGGTGAGGACACATTTACCCGCAATTTATCTAAGTACCATAGACAAACACTTACTCCAACATTTGTAATGTTCACTTCAAACTCTGACCTATGCAAGATGATAAAATAATAGCCTAATAATATTTTTGTGTGTATTTCATTACAAAAGAAAATCTTCTCTTTAAATAGGATGAGAAGAAAGATAAACAAGGTAGTAAATCCCTACCATAATAACATGCTACCAAAATACAAAGATAGAAATAACAAAAGAGTTAAATAAGGTAGAGATATTTGGATATTCCAATCCCATGGATTCCGTAACACAAAAAGTCAAAAAAGTAACCAACATTACTAAAAGTAAGAAAATCCAAATTAACTCTAAAAGTGAAAAGCACATTTTCAAGTTCTGCAAAATCAATTAAAATTGAGAGTTGAGACTATGACACTATGTAAAACTTGAAAATGAGACTTGGGCTTCACTTTTAGTGTTAATTTAATTTTCTTCAGATTTAGTAATATTTTTTAAATCTGGAGGTTTGGTAGTATTGTAAGTTAGTTGTTGTCATTTGTTGTATAAGTTTAAAGAATGAACTGCATATATCCAATGTTGAAGTTAAGTCTGACCAAGATTTGGGTAATCAATACATTGAGTTATAAAGTGAGATCAATATCATTAGATATGTTTTTCATGTAGTTTTGAAATGTCATAAAGTAAAACATTTTTTATGAAGATTTATAAAAAAGAATGATTAAAATGTTGCACGGGAGACCGTAAAAAGTCAAAAAAGAAGAAATTTATGGGATGGAGGGAAATCATTAATATGTAAATAATCAAACAACTAAAGAAATAAAGATAAAGAGTATATATCATCAAACATACAAAATTTGCAATAGTAACCTTTAATCATTTTTCTAGAAAGAATAAGGAAATTATGTCAAATAGTAACCTGGATACACATTATTCCTAAAGTATCTCCCCAGCTCTTCAGCCTTCAAAAGAATTTAAGAAATAAACAAAGTAAAAGGGTTATACGGTAAGCACGTGAAGGCCCGCCTCACCAGGAAAATTATAAACTATGTAAAAATCAAAGATAAACGCAACGGAAAATATCAAATGATTTAAACGTAAGTAAGCACCTGCTTTCTGCCCGCGTGAGTGAGAACACCCCCATATTTAAGAACCATAAGAGCTTCAACAGGTCTTTCTTCTTCACCTTCACCATTAGGTTTTCCCACTTTAACCCACTTGAGTGGTTTTAGTTGAACTTTTCTATAAATACCAGAAAAATGCCCTCCCTGAAAAGTGAAAACAAATGCTACACTTAAGCCATAGATATAAACTAAGGTGTGACAGTATAGACTAAGTAACACTTTGGAAAGCAAGAAATATGCAGATAAAGTAGTCCACACATTCACTAAAGCTCTCGAGATTATGGGTGCACATGTGTGGACGTGATAGAAGTGTATGTGAAAACTCATTAAACCAATGGTAGATGGTTATATTGACCTCTTCAAGAACAGCTTTAACTTGACGAAGCTTTTCAGCATGTTCAAGGTCTTCTGCTTCACTATCACTTTCTCGGCCAGATCTATAGAACAAGAATATGTAACCAATTGAGATTGATCTAATAGATCATCTCTAAAGCAAAGTATTGTACCGTTACACCAGTACCACTATGGACGACTGTATATTCCTCCTTGAGAAAAAAAGCCATTTGTTTAAAATGTTACAATGTAACTCCTTTTTAGGAGAGATTTGGAGCAGAATATTACAAAGTTAGTTTTGTTTCTTTTTCTCTTTTTGAGAGGTGGTGGTTTGTACATCTCTGTCTTTCATTTTTCCATAAGATATCAATATTAGATTCAAAGAGTTTCTATATATAATTAGTATCTAATGGCATGTCAATGTCTGTTGTTACAATTATGACATCAAATTGATGGTTCAAACAACGTTGTTTCAAATAAATTGAAAACCGTCCTCTAAATACTCAAAAGTAAAAATAGAAGCATGGAAAAACTTTACCTAGTCCGCGGTATCAAAGCTCTTGTCGCATCCAAGAGATCTTGCAATTGAACAGCACTTTTAAGTTTCGTCTGCAGGCAATTTTAACAACAAAGAATGTTTGGAAGACATGGAGAATTTAAGAACATAGTAGGAAACCAAAGAGAAGGAGAAGACCTCAAATCTTGGTCTCCCACCATTGTATTTCAACATCAAATTCAACAGCTTTTCCTCAGTAACTTTCAACTTTACTTTCTGTTTTGGAGTTCTATCACCGCTGAAACATTTCAGAAGAGTAAACTATATAAGGGAATAAATATCACTTTTTCCATGGAATGGAAAAAAAAGTATATCTTCTTACTGGCGAATTACAGCAATTACACAGCGTAGCTCTTCAGATTGCCCAAATGTGCCCATGAGTCCACTCCCTTGGCGTGTTAGGACCTCAGAAGGCTGAACTGGTTCATTGACCTTCCATGGTAAAGTTGGTGGAATAATTGAGGAAAGATGTGGGGCTTTGGCATCTAGAAACAGCTTCCTCAACACACAAGCAGCATCATCATAATATCTGCAGTCAACAATAACTCCATACATATTTTCAAATGAATAAATAATTAAAAACCAGTTAAACAAACAAAGATCAGAACAAGTAGATAGGAGACTACAGCTCACAACCATTAACCATCCGTCTAAGGCATAAAGCATAAAAGAATCTCAATGCACTCAACATATCTTTCACATCAATCCAGGAGTGTACATGGTCAAGCAAGACAAAGTGAAGGTAGTTCCCTTTGCCATCCTTCTCTTTTTGTTTGTCCTTTTTTTAGCCTTTTCCCCTTGTCGTCTCTTTATTCTTTCACGGTCTGTTTCTAGTTCCCTTTGCCATCCTACTATTTTTCTTTTTCTTTTTTTTTTTTGCCTTTTCCCCTTTTCATCTCTTTATTCTTTTACGGTCTGTTTCTATCTACTTGTGGTGGTGATGTTTTCTTGTTCTGGTGTGGCCAGGGGAGCACAATGAAATATATACTCCCTCCGTACCGTAAAAAAAACCTTTCAATTTGACTACATGGTGAAAAGTTGAAAGGTGAAAAGTGTGTAGCTGAATTTGTGTGGAGAGAAAAATGTTGTGAACTACATGTTCTTTTCCTGGAAAGAAATGAGACAATTATTTGGTACAGATGAAAAAAGAAAAATGAAACCACGACCATCATTGCCCGAGTGGGAGTATATGTATATATAGTGAAGCTTCTCACAATTGAAAGAAAAGCTGACCTCTAACACCCTAGACAACTAAACATCCAGTCTCACTTATACACCAAGGAAAATCAAGGTATATACAAAATACACAGCAGTACGAAAAAATGATAATGATAATGATAAATCTTGGTAATGCATTACTTATATGAGTTCTTCACAAAACTCCATCCGTTCACATCACAAACATAGGAACGTCCCTCACACCGCAATAGATCAAATCCACAAACCTAAAAATATCATTAACAAAAACAAGACTAAAGTATAAGTTAGTCTTAAAAGAGCAACAATCTACATGACAACAGAAATGTGAAAGAGTTGCAGGAATGAAAACTTTGTTTTGCAATATTTTTTTCATTAATGACAATTGATCATGCTAGTTTGTGTGTGTGTGGGATGGGGTTCATAGTTGGTTTATGAAGATGCCTTAGTTACTGGGGCTCTATTAGGCCCTTGTAGTTTTTTGTGGAGCCCACCTTTTTGTGTATCTTATAACATGTACATAAGGGTGCAAGTCTGGTGGGATTTAATGAAGATATACATATATATATATATACACACACACACACTATATTAAAGGAGGCAGGAAGTCAGAGTTTTATTAACCAAGCCGTCATTGCAGAAATTATTGCATCTTATGAACTATATACACGGGTCATTGACTTGGTATGCAGAAACCAGAGGTGTGATGTCAATGTCTTTTTTGAGTTTGCATTGAGAACAAGAAAAGACAGAAACCACTCATTGAACTCAGAGACATTGTTATGATTCCATGAATAAGAAGTTCAGATTCTCTGTGATAATAATGGATGAATAATACATGTATGCACTACAGCCTTCCTGAGTTTAAAGAAATAGCCAAAGAAAAGAAAGAAATGACCCCTAAATAGCAACCTCCCATGGTTAACCTTTCCAATATTTTTATCATATACTCCCTCCGTCCACAAATAAACTTCTCGTTCACTATTCACAAGGTCAAACTTTATTCACTTTGTTGGCCTATTTTTGTCACCCATTTGATAAAATAATATAGTCATGTCACCTTTAGTTTTGTAGATCTTTTGATATAGTTATTTAATATGTAATTTTTATTTTTAAATTTTACACCATTTTTCATATAAAATGATTTGGAAATAACTTCAGTCAAACATCGTAACGCGCAACGGGAAGTTTATTTGTGGACGGAGGGAGTAACTATCAGCCTCCCTTCCAAGCTCATTCAATTTCAGGTGATCAAATAAACTATACTTTGAGTAGTGTAAGCCTCCTAAATGTCAAAATATACTTTCACCCCCCAAACTCTATTCTCGTGGGATTCAACCGGGTTGATGTTGTATATATAGCTTCACTAACTTCTCCACTAATTAAGGGTCAAAGAAACATTAGCTTATCATGACTCTACTTATTATTGAAGGACATAATCATGTTTCTACTAACTATCATTCAACAATATTTTAGTAACTTACTGATTGCCTGAAGGCAACGCAAACTTCTCTTGCCATCTGTTTCTCTGTGGGAGTAAGTAGAACAGGATACCTGACCTGCAAATGAACCAACATCTTTTAGATACTTATCGACTAAGAGCCAATAGTCCATTTTTTAATCACCTCCATTACCATCATTCAATTACACAAAATTTGAATGGAGGCAACACACGAAACAAATACCAACTGCGTGTTGACCATTGAAATGGGTATCATAATCATACGGTGAAGAAAAAAGGGACCTCTTTTCCATCGGGATTTCTCATCACAACACCATCAACAACAGGAGATTTCCTAGCCTCTGCATGTGCATAGTCAGGGCCAACAGTGTAAACCTACACAGGAAATGAATGTGCTAAAAGAGTATGGTTCTTTATACAGGACACATGATGGTAAACGTACACGAATAACATCCTTCTTAAATGGCTGATATCAAGCCACATACCATGCAGAAAGTGAGCAGCACATCTCTAACTCTAAGATTACACACAACTTAATTGAAAAATTTAAGCATCTTGCAATGGGATTAATTTTCGCGGTTGCATAACTAAACAGTAAAAACAGATTGCTCCTGTACATAAGCCAAGCATGATTTCTAGTACCAAACTTTATAAAGGTCACTAGTACCAGGACTGCTAGATTTAGAAATATAAATTTAGTACCTTCACATCTGTCCCTCCAGTAGGCATAAATTCCTCATATATGTAGGACCCTTCGCGCCTGACTCTTCTAACATCTGGATGGAACTCGCTGGAGCGATTTCCAACCTAAAAGAGATTGCCAAAAGATGTAAAAATAATAATCTAGACTACCAGCAATTGACATTAGAGTTAAGAAAATTAAGGCCAATGCTAAAAAGATCTCTGTAGATAAAGTATGGTATGTTGCATGCAAAGACAGTCCAGTCATCCAGTCTCTGAAGATGAGAAACAGCTGTACTGAAAGTCTGAAACCTATTGTACTATTTGTACCCATGGTTGTTAGTATATCATATATGTCATGTCTGACATCCACATTCATCTTATATAATCCCACCGTCTCAGAAAAACTTTTCATGTTCACTATTCTGGGTCAAACTTATTTTTTTTCCTTTGCTTAGTTCCATTACTCAATTGATCAGTAAAATATTAGTGTTGTTATCTTGTTTTGCAGAGCTTTAGATGTATAATTTTTTTGAAAAAATTTACCTTAATTTTCATCGTAATCAGAAAACCTTTTTGAGAGTATCACCCATAGTTTTAAAAACCGGACCGGACCGGCCGGTTCGGATCGGGAACCGGCGAACCGGGAGGCCAACCGGTCCGGTCCAACTCCAAAGACCGGCATACGCACTGAACCGGCTCGAACCGGCTGGAACCGGTAAGGACCGGTGACTAGTTTTTTTTTTTTTTTTGCACAAATTTCTCAAAAATCTTTCCTAATGGTGGGGTGGGTTTCGAACACACAACCTCTTGTTATCTTGTTAGGCTACCTACCATCTATGCTGCAATCCCTTTTGTTCCTTAAAGGCATTATTAGTTATATATTACTCCGTACATTCTTAAAAATATACTCCGTACAAGTATACATTACTAGTTATATATTACTCCGTACATTTCTAAAATATTGATGCAAATGATTCTAATATTAACTTCATATAACAAAACTATTAACTCATTTAAATATTTTAAAAATACTGTGTAAATTATAAAACAAAAAATATCACCTCTTATTTTATAATTTTTTATTTGTTTAAATATCCATTTCTTTCGATTTAATGCTACTACTCAAATAATTAAATTTCTTATAAATTTATTAATACATCATAAATTCTTTATTATAGATAAAGGGAGTATTATTTCAATAAATATTATTTTTCATGTGTGTGTAAATATTATATATATATATATATATATATATATATATATATATATATTAAATTTTTAAATATGTGTGAACCACTGGTTCGACCACTTGAACCACTGGTCCGACCAGTGAACCAGGAACCAGTACCTTGACCGGTTCGGTCCCCGGTCCGGTTATGAAAACTATGGTATCACCACATTTGAAATATAAAATTGAAACATGAACCATCACGAACATTTGGTGTTAAATGAATATTCTCACCTTCCGGAATAATTCCTTCATCCCTCCTCCTGCTGAACTGGGGTAGTATATCATTATACTATGGTCGTCGCCTGTAAGGTAAGAACATGGCCAATACTTGTGTGAGTCTGGTCAGCAGCATTAATATTATATAGCCAATTAGTAATATAAAAGTAATTCACATTATAAATTCAGGCAAACAAATAGTGGCAATATTTTATACCAAAGGACAGAATAATGAGAAGAAAAAAATAAAACTGTCATAAACATAGGCTTTCCACATGCAAGGAAAATATCATGAAACAGCAATGAGTTGAGACATTTGTTATTGTTGCGTTACGGAATGTAATACTATAAAAGTTAAAAGTAAAACTTCACAAAAACAAAATTTCTTTTTTGGTAGATGTTACTTTCATGTTTTAAAGGATTATATTTAGTTGTGCACTTGTGCCTCACTGCTGTTAAAGAGGTTATTAAGTTAGTCAAATAGAAAAGCCAGCGTAAGAAGTAGGGTTCAATGTGAAAGAATAAGATGCATTGACACTTGGTAAGGTCTGAGAAAAAAACAGGCACCCTAGTAGTTCAATACTCAACAGGTGCCCTCTAAGAGAAGCTTACTTTCTGGAGATCATTTATGAGCACCAGGTCGATGTCCTGTTTTTTAAGCCATTATTTATTAGTTATTATCCATAGAGAAGGGGGAGGGAGGGAGTCATTCTATTAGGATAGCCTGCTGAACTCGCACCCTTTAAATTCAAATAGCAAAAGTTGTAAATGGAAGTCTTAATACATGAATGTAGCCTGTGTGTAAATTACCATCAACAGGTTTCTCCACAAAGGGTTTCCAGAAGCGATTTCCATGAACTTCTACAAAGTCTTCCTCTTCAGAAAAATAATTCAACTCTTGATAGGGATATTCCCTATTAACACAAGCATATCTTGGAACAGGAATTCCATACATCTCAAGCCGCTGAAATCCCAGAAAACTTTTAAAAGGGTCTATCCATATGAAGAACTATATATTATGGAAATGAAAGGGAACAAATTCTGCTGATAGGTTGGAAGCTGGCTGGGAAAATTTAAGCCCATTTTAGGAACAGGTAGATAAACTCCTAAAAAGTTCTCCAATCTGTTGATAGTGAACAGATGGGAGAACTTGCAGGAGTCCTAAATATAATGATTGTAGAAACAGCCATCATGAGCTCATGAAGAAAACATGTAGGAGAAACCATCAATAATTTCCTCAATCGATTCTTAAGTTTCCAGACAGTCTAGGAAGCAAGGAAAGCAAGTATGTGCGCACCTCATAGACCTTCCTCCTATCATGTAGAAGGTGTTGTGGCTCCAGCTCATTCACAAGAAAGGGCCTAAATTGATGAGTCAGTATATCAATATAAAGACTAAGGAAGCATGCATTCAAAAATGCAAAAGCATATGTAAATACTAATATTGTAGATAGAAGTATGAGCTTAATTTTTACCAAAAATACATTTATCGCCTAAAAGTAGATGTTCGGAAATAACTTTAGTTACGTATAGTAGTTATATATTGGCATAATGGCATGAGTATTACCTTCTTTCAAAGCAATAGTTTCACACTTCTATATATATACTCCCTCCATCCCAAAATGAAGTTTAGATTTTGACTTCAAAGCGTTGATGAAACAAAATGTAGGGAAAATGCAAAAAGTCACCGTAGCATTTTTGTAGAAAGTGTAAAAAATGCATCACTAAAAGTGCATAGAATGGAGAAAATCTGCACCAAAAAGGCCCAAATGTGCAATGGTTCACATTTTTCACGAGAAGATCATATTTTACTTGAACCAACCCCTATTTCATATAGTACAGAGTATATAATCGTACTGGATATCGCATAACTCTCGCATGTAAACATATTCTTCTTACTAGAGTGTGACAGGGAGCTAACACAACGCCAAAATGTAAATATAATAAACAGTAAAATTAAGAAGAGCAAAAGAATGTATACTTTCTCAATTTAGCATATGCCTCAGCCTTCTTTAAAGGATATCTAGAAGAATAGAAAGCAATCAAGCAATCGCATATCGGCCAGCTACAACCAAAACAAATTACAAAATTAGCAAAAAGACATTAGTGTGTGAACCCAGTTGTGCTGCATAAAGTAGCAATTGCAGATTTAAGAATCAAGCGATTCTCTTGTTAGGAACACATCAAACTCAGCACATATGTGCATGTGGAGAACAATCCATTAACAAAATTGAACGAGTACCAATTATTGAGAGCTCAACTAAATCACATAGAAGTCTTACCTCTCGATTGGATCCTCAAGGATAACCTTGTCACCAAAATGTACAACCTACCAGCATTATGAAAGTATTGTAAAGCATTAAAACACAATTTCAGGCTAGGCCACAGATATATTACGGAGTATTATTTTGGAAGCATGGTGAATCGTAGAAGTGTAGAACGGGCACCTCAAATTCACCGAATGACTGTAATCTGTCCAGAATCTGCCCCATGGGGGCGGAAAACGCCTGAAACCAGTTCCAAAAAACCACCAATAAGCCATTGATGGAAACACAGACGACATCCAAATAGAAAACAGAACAATTCCGATGCATGTGCTGCAAATTGCGGTGTTATACAAATACGAATTGAGACAAAAAAGTACAGAACCTCGGAGCCGCATTTCACCTTCTTTTCCATTACACATACACCAATGGTTATCTTCTTCCCAACATTACACTCCGCCTCCATTTTCCCTCTCCCCCTAATCTGTGTGAAAATCTATCTCTAAATATCTAAATCTCTGTATCTGTTTCCGTCAACAATACGTATGGCGGAAGGAGTCTCTCCTCCCTTTCCGCTCCGCTCAACTGCTCAGAAACTCATAAATAGGTGAGACAGCAATAAATATAGCATTAATGCGCTAAAATGAGAGGAAAAAAACCAAAATAAATAAGCTGGAAAATGGGAAGAAGAAGAAAAAAAGGTAGGGAAATAACTGTGGGGAAATCGTTACCTTACAAGATGCCGAGATGCACGAACAGATATTCAAAAAATAAAAAAGGAAAAATGGAGAGAAACAGAAAATCTAAAAACAAAAATCCAAGACGACGCAGACGTTTCCTGCAAGTCTCCAGAGTTTTCCAAGCGGAGATGGTAAAGGGCTCATGGATAGGCATGTCAGGGCGGGACCATACTCCATAGATACGGCCATACAAGATTCTCTGGAATATATACAATTCCACATGGAGCCGGGAACATGAGGTCGTACCAGATTCAGATCCACCTGATATTATGATGGATAAAGGGAATAAATTCCCGCAGAGGGAAGTTTTGGTGCAGGCAATTCCCCAGACAGAAAATGGGCTTTACTAAAGCCGTTTTTTACATTTTTTTTTTTTTGAAAATTGGCTTTGTAAAAGCCGTTTTTTGTAAAAAAAAAAATATTGGCTTTGTAAAAGCCGTTTTTTGTTTAAAAAAATTTTAAAAAATGGCTTTCATGATTTTTTCATTGTATAAAATATACACACTTACGTTTAAAAAAAATTGTGCCATTTCATAAACTATTTTTTATAATAAAAAGAAATATTTTTTATGATTCAATATATAATTTTTTTTAAAAAAAAATCAACCAATAAAAATTTAATAAAGAGATGTTCAACAAGAAAAAGAACGCAATATTGAAAACATAAATATATTAAAACATTAACAGAAAATTACATTCTCAACATCTGAAGTAAACAAGAATTACAATACCTTCCCTGAAACAAACTAAAAAAAAATTAAACTAAAATCATCTCCTTGCCCTGAAATCCATCTCGCCCTGGTATCGATTGCGTTGACGTCTCCCAGAACGTGGAATCTCATCTGTTGGCCGTTTGGGAGGTAGAACTTTAAAGTTGCCAACATCCAAATTTTGAGGGAAAAGAACAGATTGAATTATACCACTATAACAACTCAAATAGTTTTGAATCGAGTACCTAGCCGGTAATATGTTGTGAGGAACTTGTTGTCGAAAAGAGTGGTAAACAGCATGAACATGAACACAAGGTATATTATCGGAAGTCCACTGCCCACAAGTGCATACACTATTAAACAAATTGACCAAGTAGTTGTAAATGGAAGAAGGATTTGTTCGAGATGTGTGAGTCACTACGTATTGGTTGTTACCGTAGCTTGAGACTGTCCACTTGTGCTTAGTTTTCTCCCGATTAAGGAGAACATTTTTAATTTTCGGAGTAATGTGCATGCTCTGTTCTTGCCACTGAATACCAAGCTTGTACCTTTTAGCAAACAATTCAACCATCTTGGCATAGGACATGAATAAAATGGCAGTGACAGGTAACATTCGACAACCTTTCAGCATATTGTTGAAACTCTCGGAACTATTTGTCGTTAAGATACCACACCTAAACCCACCATCAAAACAAAGGGTCCATGCCGCACGGGGAATATCATTTAAATACTGATATCCCTCCTCACTCATGTTTCGTATTTCAGCCATATATCCTTCAAATTGTTGGATATTATGTGTACTACCAGCGGCCCAAACCAAATTTTTAAGATCACTGTTCCGGAACTTTGTCATGAAGTTGCTCCGAACGTGGCGAAGACAAAAACGTTTCATTATCAATCCGGTCTGTAGTTCTGGAAGGTCACGATAGGAGTTGATGATCCCAATATGTCTGTCAGAAATAATATAGACTTGTTGTGAGCCGATAACCCTCAGAACAAGAAGGCGAAAAAACCAAGCCCAACTCTCACACGTTTCTCCGTCAACAACCGCATAAGCCAGAGGAAATATTTCACGATTACCATTCATGGCAACCGCAAGAAGGAGATGACCCTTGTACTTTCCATACAAATGAGTTCCGTCCACCGTCACTACAGGCATGCAGTATTGTAATCCATGTATTGCCGCGGCGAACGCCCAAAATGCATACTTAAAGCGCGGGGTCTCTTCAGGTGTAGCATTAAGGTTTGGTGGTTCGGATGCATAGACAACATCGACTACAGTTCCTGGATAAGAATTTTGTAAATTGTACAACATAATAGGAAGTTGAGAATACGAATTCTCCCAACTACCGTACAACAACTCTGTAGCACGGATCCGAGCTAACCAACATTTTTATACGACACAGGAACATGAAATTCCTGTAAAACATCATGTTGGATTAACTTCACTTTGTACTCAGGATCTACACGTACTTTTCCGACAATGAACCGAGCAATGGAGAAATAATCGATGTTTAAATCATCTCCACCGTGAGAATAATCCGGATGACAAGTGTGCACGTCTCGCAATTGTTTTATTTTCCACACTCCAGATTTTAATCCTTGTGCTTGAACACACCAAAAACAGGGTGGGCTTTTGTTGTAATACCAACACCGACATGCCCATGATCCCGCTTTTTTGTATTCGTTTCGAAAAAAACGATTGTTCGCCACACATTGTTTTGTAACCGCATCCTTAAGTGATTCAAAATTGGGAAAGGTCATACCTATTGCAAGAGGGCCATCAGACACGCCACCAGAAATTCCTCTTACACCAGCTTCAGCTTCCATTTCATGGATCCAATGTTCTTCTGTGTCAATGTCATCGTCCGAAGGAATGTACTCTTCATCATCATCAGAGTCAGGGTTGTCAATAACTTCATCTGCAATCGTCTCCCCCTGCGAACGAACACGATAATCACGTCTCGATGGACCGGCCTCATCTCCACCCGCACGAGCACTGTCGATGTATACTTCTAGTAAACCCAAGGGAATGGCCTTTTGGAAAAATATTTCCCATAACCTATCACTGTCGATGCCATCAATTTCATCGAACTGATACCAGGGACGGAGTAATGAATTTTTCCAGATATTTTGGATATAATCCCGTAACCATCTGCAGTATAATGTGATTGAATTTCTTGGCGAATATTTTCCCAAGACATACTCGAATTAACAATCAAAGTTTTTTGATATTCCCTTGTGTAGGAAATATCTCCATTACTTTGAATTATTTCTCCTCCCCAATATATGTTTAGAATTTGGTTTTCTAAATTAGACATTTTATTGCTCAGTGTAGTATGTATTAAAAGTGACATGTATGGAGATTTATACATGAAATTTTATATATTTTGGCTTTTTAAAAACCGAAATATTCCCTCTTTTTTTAAATTTCAAAATTCAAATTTTTTGGCTTTGTAAAAGCCAAAATCTTTCACACTTTTTAAAATTTCAAAATTCAAATTTTTTGGCTTTGTAAAAGCCGAAATCTTGACAGTTTTTTTAAAATTTCGAAAAATATTTTTTTTACTGTAAAAGCCGAAATTTTTTTTACTGTAAAAGCCGAAATTTTTTATACCGTTTTTTTTAAATGTCAAAATTCAAATTTTTTAGCTTTGTAGAGTTACATGACACAAGAATTCAAAATTTAAAAGAACAAAATTATTTTAAGTGAAAGAAAGTAGAATCCATTACATGACCGAAAAATAGAAATTATAAATTACAAAAATCCATGATTACAATAAATTTAATTAAATCCACGATTGAACCAATAATCCATCACCGGGCTGTTCTCATAGTCATGCGGCATGGACGAGGATGCGAAGTTATCACCACCCAAATTGCGTGTGTCAAATTGTGTCGCACCAAAAAGATCTTCTTGGGTACTTTGTCCGGGTTGAGTAATGTCAGTTTGTGGGAAATATGGACCAGTCTCGACCTCGTTAGCATCAAACTCATCCTCGTCTCCATGCATTTCTTCGTCTTCAAGAAGCTCATTTTCGTTGGGGTCAAAGTTTTCTAAAGCACCCCTAAGGTTTTCTCGAACCTCTGCTGCAACCGCTCCGAGAACTTTACCGAGTCGACGCTCCGCTTTCTTTATTGTATTCACCTGCGAAAAAAATTAGTTAGTGAAGGATTTATTTTATTATAAGTAAATATTTATAATTTCTAAATTACCAAGAATGCAAGTTTGGCAGAAGTATTTTCAGATCCTTCTAGAGGTCGATGATATGGGTTTCCAATAATACGCCGACCGTACGTTGCAAACCGGTTAGCATATTCCACGGTAATTTGGAATGGATTCTCTCCTACAATGGGCTCCATTTCATGGAAAACGGTAAAGGCAAAGCGATTATCCCTCCATTGCGCCACGCATGCTTGTACCGTCTGGGTCGATTTACATCCCTTTGGTTTATGATAGGCCTCTGTATACGGATGGGTAAGCTCAGGAATGGTTTGCAACATCCCAAACTGTCGTGTGAATCGCATAGGCATGACAGGCTCAATAATCGAACGATAAATAACATAGCCTTGGAAAGTCCATAGTTGAGGACTACGACGACAATAAGCAGGCAAGTTATCAATATCGTACGGTTGCCAAACAACCTGTATATTGTCAGAACTATAAATAGTCAATCTCTGATCTATTTTTTTACAAATTATTTTCTAAATTATTTTATGAATATTAATCTTACGTTTCGGAACTGCAAGCAGTCAAGCTCATTCCTAAAGTAGCGTACATTTTGCCTAGCAGAGGCACTGTACATCTTGGTCTGTCTCCACCTGAATAATAATAAATGTATAGCAACTTGAATAAAATTATAGAAAAAATTATAACCTCGTTAATCTAAATTAATGCAATTAAATACCGTGCACCAAATGGGTCGTCTTCGCGGGGAGGCCCGTGTGGATTATTCGGCACATTATTCAGTATCGGTCTTATGGTCAAAATCCGAGTCCACGCCCATAATTGCAATAGAAGAAGACAACCCCCGGGACGCGTTCGCGGGTTAGTCTTCAACGCAGCCTTACAGAGCGAAAAATTTAATCGCGCTAAAATTGCAGAGCCCCAACTAAAAGTAGATGTTTCATTAAAATCTCGTAAGTATCTTACGAAATCAATTGGTGCGTACATACCCGAAGAATCTGGAAATAATAAACCACCCATATAAGCATATATGAGTCTAGCGGTATATTGAGCCACCATCTGATCAGGCCATTCATTATTTGGTTGAATGGTTTGTCCCTCAAAAAGAAAGGCAATCTTGAATTGGTCAAAACGACCAAAATGGGTGTCTTCGGTGTTCCACATCAAAACATCTCTAAATAAGACATTTCGTTCCTCAACAGTTAAATCAAAGCCCATGACGGGGAGTCCATCAATCGAAAGTCCTAGTAAGCATTCCACGTCCTGTAAGGTGATACCCATCTCACCAAAAGGAAACTGAAATGCGTGTAACTCCGGTCTCCAGCGCTCAACAAGAGAAGTGATTAGACCATGGTCTAATCGGATAGGTTGCACACGGTGCACTCCATAAAACCCTGATCGGTGCAACATTTCATAAACTCTATCCTCAAAAAAAACCGTAGGAAGACTACCTTCGTAGCGAACCGGAGAGACTTTGTTGTCTATAAAATTCGGGTTATGCCACACCTCACGCGAACGATGTGTAGCTTGTAAAGTAAGAATGTCCCTCGATCTAGGACCCGCTATTTCTCTCTCAGGATCATACATTATGCTTCAAAAAAAATTGTAGTAAGCTTCTATTTACTCATAGTACAATAAAATGGTTAAAAAAATCTTGTTTAAAAAAATATGCATTACATATTATAAAATTAAAAAAAATGCATTTCACATTGTAAAATTTAAAAAAAATATGTATTACATATTTAAAAAACTTATAAAGAATTATTCTAAGAAAACATACCTCAACTTCTTGGATGATTATGGAAGAATAGATAAATTTTGAATATTTAGTGAGAAAAGAAGAGAAAGAATGTGAGATGTAGTTGAAGAGATTATATATTTTGTGTAAAAAGAAGGAAGAGATTTGATTATTTGTAGTAAAGTTGAGAGGTGTACTAGTTGAAGGGATTAAATGTGGGAATAGGAAGAGGTGGAGTGTGAAAGGGAGAAAGGGGAAGGGGGGGAGTGCGCACTACGCAGGCATGCACTGCGCATGCATTAAATGGAATAAATCCTGAAATGGCTTTTCAAAAGCCGAAAAAAATTAATTCAAAAAGAAAAAAAGAAAATGGCTTTATGAAAGCCGAAATCCATTAAAAAAAATAAAAAAAAATCGGATTGCCAAAAGCCGATTTTCCTCCTCAGGAATTTACCTTTCCCACTCAGGAATTATATTCAAAAAATTTCCCCTCTTAGGGAAACCACCCGGATAAAGGTATTATCCCAACATTTCTATCTCATTTTATACACCGCATGATGCACCAATATTTTGTTTGATATAATACTAATATTTTTACACATTGGTTCCCATGACATTGGAAACTAATGTCATGAGATGACTCGGGGGCGCTCCGGTGCCCCGTTCGTAAAATTGACGGTTCCTACCCCCTAACCCTCCCGGTAAACCCCCCACCACACCCTGTCCCGAACAAACCCCCCACTCCCTTCAATTGCACCCCACAAGTCGATTTTGACTTTGGAGTCAAATTTTGACTCTAAAGTCAAAATCGACTTGTGGGGTGCAATTGAAGGGGGTGGGGGGTTTGTTCGGGGCGGGGCGGGGTGGAGGGGTTTACCGGGGGGTTAGGGAAGGTAGGAACCGTCAATTTTACGAACGGGGCCCCGGAGCGCCCCTGGGTCATCCCATGACATTGGTTCCCAATGTCATGGGAACCTTCCCCTAACACACAAACACTCTATGTCAGTGTAAATTTGTGTTAACGCACCAACACTTTGTGTCAGTTTAAATCATCAAAATGTTGGTGCATACATTTGGTTCTTTGGGTTACAAATGAGGTATAAATTTTGAGATACATGTAGCATGCTCCTATTATGATATGGGATGCATCCATTTTTTCCCAAAATATACCCTAAAAATTTACACTTATATTTTTTCTTCATTTAAGTGCGAGATTGAAGACTTGCATTGATATAAAGAGATAGTGTGGAATTTTACAATCACACTAATTTTTTGTTTCGATGTAAGCCATCAAAATGTAAGTAAAATTTTTTGGGATCCAATATTTAAAGTACACCTAGCATAGTTGTATTATGTTTCACTCTGTGCGAAAGAACTAAACTAAGAGTAAAATATTGAAATCAATGTCAAAATGAGAGGTTGTGTTTTTAATCTCAAAATAAGAGTATGATTTCAATAATATCAATATATAGTATTCAGTATCCAAAAATATACTATGATGTGATATAGCGCCATAATGTTACAGTTTAAACTATTCTTTAAAAAAAACTCATATTTTAAGAATAAATATCACTTCATATGCTTTACTCTTATTTAGAGTGATTTATTTTGTTTCAATCAGCATATGAGAGCACTTGTACCTACTACGGTACTTAAAATTATATGGAGTAATAAAATTATACAGTGTAATAATATTCTCTTTTGTATTTTTATTTAACGTTTGTGTTCAACTGACCCATTTTTTTGGATATCAAGTCAAACAAAATCTACTGCTATATACAAACTCAATTTTATAATCAAAGATATGAGATGATTGTACTTTAATTATAAATAAGTAAACATTTTTGTTATAATTAATGGTAGAGTTCAAATAACATTTGATACCAATAATTTCATTTTATGCCATTGAGCCACTTAAGTACTCTGTGCTTCCCACTTCAAAACAATTCTTACCATCTTATTCTTTCTACAAATCCTCAATCCCTGCCTTCGTAGCCCCCATCTATTTGGGGTACGATCGATAAATGGTGCCTCAAATTGATTAAAGGATACAGGATCTGGTGCCCTGAATTGATGGAGACTACGAGACACTATAGATGGTGCTCCAAATTGATGGAGGCAACGGGAGGAGGTGAGAATCATGTTGATGAGGGCGGGCAGGTTGGGATTAGTAACAAAGATTATATCATTAAGAATTACTTCAGAGTCTAACGAAGTAGGATAAATGTTCAAATAGCCTAGTGTCATAGGATGACACATGTGTTGAGCTATGTGTCATTTAGATACCACTGTATAAGTAATGACATTTAAATTTTCATTAATGTGCAATGAATGATTGTGCATAGCATAAGCATTCATTTGTGTCTAGTCATTGTACTACTCGAGGTATTTCATTGTAGTTATGTAACGTCCAGTAATTAACCCAATTTGTTTCAACCATTTATTTACTCCATTTGATTCTTAATTTGATCATTTCTTTATTGCATTTTGAATTGTAAAACAGAATTTGAGTATATTTCACCAAAGAAGTTATACGATCAATTATTTTTGTAAAGATATATTCAAAATTTGAAATTGACAAAGTGTTCATAACAAAAAAAGGAAACGGTACTTCCAGTATTTCAAGGTATTGGGGTAGGCAACGTATACAGTAAACGAAGAAGACAAAAAAGACTATTCTTCACAAGAGAATGACGTCGAAAAGATTCAATGAACAATTATTTTGTGAGAGTTGACGTCCCAAAAAAATGTCATAATTTTTTTAACTATCACGTGAATTTTTGTTTATTTGTACATTTTACTAATTATTTTTAAAATAAAATATTATTAACACTTCTTATTTTAAAAAAAACATGCAGTTTTCAAATATATAAATTTTATTTTTATACCAATGTTTCAATAAAATGATTTGAAAAAATTTGATGTTCTATCTTGTTTCAATAAATTTTATTGACAAACATTTTGGGACGGAACGAGCGCATAGATTTTGCCAAAGAAGTGAAAAAACACTAAAAAGTTAAAAACACAAGAACAGGCGAATGCTTACCCGATAAAACCAACATTCAGGGGGGGGGGGGGGGGGAA